AGCACTTTTTTAGAGTGTATACATTGATTCACAGAAAACTTTCAGAAAGCTTTAGGCATGTACAAGAAGCGAACTACCTATTAGATAGTAAAATTTGCTTATTATTAACAGAAATTACTTACTAATGTGTCCAATATAGTTTTATCCCACTTCAACTGTTTTGTACAGTAAGATTCTTCTTTCTTATAATTACTATCTTTGCTATTTCTATTTGTCTTGCTATACCCGCTTGTGCTTGGTTGTGGTTCTGATATAGATTTTACTTGCTCATTTAGTTTTGCTTGTATTCTTTCTACTTTGTTATTTACTGGTTTGACCTATAAATGATTCACATTAAACTATTAGTTGTCTAAAATATATAAATTAATATGGATAATTTATTTACCAAAGTTGGATGTGAAAGATCATCTTCCCAGTTATTAATTGTTGAAGCAAGAGCTGCTAATCTATCAAGTCTGGCTCCTCGTTTGGATGGTTTCTGTTTAACAACTTCTTCTTCTTCCTCTGCATTAAATTTTTCTTCTGTTCTATGAATGGGAGAACTCAGTTCTCCACTACTGTCATCTGTCAAAAAAGAGAGAATATATTATGTGATATGATATTTTATAAATTCTACAAAAATACAATAATAGGTCAACAAACTAATACTAACATATAACTATTTATAATAACAGTATATTAATAGAATAAAATTAATTAAATATAAAATAAAATTAGAACAACTCTTTAACATAACAATTGCGTTTACCATTCATACACAAACCATATGGAGTGAGATAAGTATACATATGTAGGTGAATATCAAAATAAAGTAGTGTTAGAAACCAGTTTAAACCGAGTTTTGTGTGGGTGTATACAATGTGACTTACCAGAATATAGTTTACCAAGTCTTTGTAACTTCGACTTCACATTGCAAAGTCCAATGTCTCTATTCTCTTTATTTATATGCTGATTACTTTCAGTTTTAGATATAGATTTTCGTGAAGACTTTGCTGGAGATGTGTTCTCTGTTGATATTTTGGCAGGAGACTTGGTTGGAGTCTTACTCTTAGTAACTTAAAATTTTTGATATTAAAAAATGTTATAAAAGAACTATTTATCAGCATTTTATTTTATTGTAAATATAAATAAATATTATCTATTGTTATATATAAAGAGAATAATATATCAAATATTGGTACCTGTAGCCTGAACTAAAATAGTATTTGTATCTTTCAAAGGACTCCGTCTTTTCTTTACATCATGTCCTGCATTTGATAGTTGAGTATCTAATTTTTCTCTCCTTGATCTAGCCCGCTCCAACATACGCTGTATAATGAAATCAATTTACCTTTATTACAAAATATTGACAAAGATAAATCAGTATTATTCATTTACTTCTTAATATTAATATTATAACTTTTATTAGAATCATAAGACATATTCAAAAATGTTTGTAAAGTTATTTAAAAAAAGAAACAAAAATTAACAAATAACAATATAAACAAAAATTGACAAATATACATATATAAATAAAATATTAGAAAAAGATTATTATATTGATATACAAATAATATTGATAAAAATTTCAATTGACGAAAATAGTATTTGAATTATCAAGCAGAGGTATTTTTTTTAAATTCCATAAACAGCTACTACTGCTGCAATTACGCATTACAATCAAATGAAAGTGCCATACCTGAGTGAAAGGGTCTATATCCATTATATTAATTGCTGTACTTAATCGTAATGCTCTGTAATTAAAATCATATTTATAAATAAATATAATATATATTTAATGCTGACAAATTATCAAAAGAAAGACACCCTTTATTCCGTACGTACGGGAATCACTTCCAATCACGATCATACAAACAGGTTTGGACACTCCTATATTGAAAGCATAGACAAGAGCACGATGAGGACGCCCGCCGAGTGAAGCCAAAAAAGATCAATATGAGGACAATATCAGGAGCATTTTCTAGTAGTTCCCTAGTTACATCCTACATATGTTATACATATTTGTGTCACACATGCGCAGGATGACTCCCAATGTTGTCACCATATTGATTTTTGGCTTTAATCCGCGGACACTTTCCCCTAGGGAGTATCCAGATCGTTTATATGACCGTACTTAAACCGTTGAATTTAAAGATAACCGCCATAGTAATGAAGCGCATGCGAATGCTTAAAACTGACAGATCTTACCTTCTATCGTTTTTTAATGATATTAATTGTATGACAAACAATGAAAATTCACGTTAAATGTTTATCGTTTTAATAGCAATATTTTCACGCAACGGAACTAACACAATATATGGAAAAACTTTTGCACAGTTCAAATGTGGCAAGCAGCGTCATAGGACTGACCTGACCAACCGAAGATCTGCGCAGGATTGGAGCACTGTTTTACTATGGCTGTGGATTGGAGCAACTGCAAACCTGTAAACGTCATTACTTGCGCCTAAAGAAGAGTAACATACGTTAGCATAGGGCAATTTGAAATGAAACGTTTCCATTGGTCGATGGAATAAAAGGACGTTTGTCGTCACAAACATCTTTTTAAATTTAAAAAATATAATCTTGTATATAAAATTCATCTTTCTTGAATATTAGAAATTAATACTAAATGAATAAAGCAAATAGCACTTTATAACAAAATATTTTTATTAAAATTGTTACAGATAATACTCCGTTTAATGTATTTAAATACTTTTATATATATTTTTAAAGTTTATATTGTAATATAGAGTTAGGAAAATAACTATTTTCTTCTTCTCTGAAATATTATTCATGATTGTAGATATATTTAATCTGTGAAGATAGGAATGTGTTCTATTTTATGAAGTTTTATCTTTTAAACATGAGATGATTCATCTCCGGTATCAGCTGCCATGGCTTCACGATTTTCATATGCCCAAAAACCATGGAATTCTATCAAAATACTGACCATTGTATCGCCTTGTCCACTAAAAAGTATTAATTATAGAATAGATTATAAATATTTCGTTTTGCTTTAAAGCCCTGATCATAGACTGGCTGAGCAGTTACTTACCAGGACAATAAATCCTGTAATGTAATTTTACATGGATCTGCTGGTTTTACCATATCGAATATTTCATCTTTAACATCCTCAAAACTTACTGGTTCTTGACCATGCATTGTCATTTGTTCTTGTATAGCCTGGAAAACATATTTAATTTAAAAATGTGTATTAGAAAACACAAAATTCTATGTGAAGTATAAATATACAAACGCGGAAAAAATAATTAAGGCAGAAAGTATCCAAATAACCACGGTTATTAATATCAAGAATTCTAAACAGATAATGTAAGCTTTGAGGCTCGTGCCGATTTTCTAACGCTAAAACAAAGTCTAGGTATGTTTTATAATCCATTTCTCCTTCATATGTTAAGCATTCTTGAAATACTCTTTCCAAAAATACCCCAGTTAATGTTCCTGTACCATACCTGTGGAAAAGAATTTTGTGAAGTTATCATGATCATAAAACATAACTTCTTATTATCATTTCATTTAAATTACCCTGCAAGTTCTTCTTTGTTGAGCATCCCATTATGATCTCTATCAAGATTTAAATATTGCCCATAAACTTTAAGAGCTGATGGAGCTGAAAACCAATTTGCTTCTTGCAAGTCTTTAGGTAAATCTTCATCTCTTAATTCTAAGAGATCATCGAGAAAACTACATGCTAGAATATCCTGTATTCTGACTCTACCAGTTCTGAGAGGATCGAGAAAAAATAAAAATTTCCTCACTGCTGTACAAACATAAAATGAATGAAATGATTTTTCAAGTCCTTCAAGCTGAGGTAATGTTGGAATTAATTCTAAAATATAGTTCTCTAAATCCTATAAAAAACAAATAATATAAATTGGGTTTAAATGTTAATTACAATTGCAGTTTATATTGCTTTAATTGAAATAAGTACACTAATGAGACTTACTGATTCTCTAAGATACCCTTGGCCAGTAACATCATACAAAGAAAGACCAATTCTTGTTTGATGTAACCAAACCTTCCTCATAACATAGTTAAACAACGCCATTATACTAATCCTACCATGAGGATCACCTTGTTGTAATTTCGCAAATACAACTGCAGTAAAATACGGACTACATTTTGTCCCAGCTAATTTACCAACTTTCTTAAAATCTTCATAATTAATTAATTGCTCTTCTCCTGATAAAGGTGGACTATGATGTTTATCTAATAACACCCACAATGCTTTAAGCTCGTTGTTATCTAACAATTGTCTGGAACGTCTTTGCAAAAATAATGCTCGCGTTTCTTCCCGTAATTTTTGTGGCAAAATTTCGTCTTCTTTAGGTAGCTAAAACATACAATAAAACGTATAAAAGAATTCTTTTTGTATTTTATATTTTTTATTCTTATAAATTATTCATATAAATTACCTTAAAATAGAATTTGGGAATCACTTTATAAGTTAAATCTTTGTCTTTAGCTTTGGCGCCCTTCCATTGTTCGTATATCTTTTGAAAGTATTCATCTTCCTTTTGTTCATTTTCTTCCGATTTTATTTCTACTACAAAAATATTTCGCATATTTTATGTATAACAGTAGCAATGAATATGTTGCAAGAAATGTATTAAACATCAGTTTCGATTGATACTTACATTTATTCACTGTTGCATATTTTCGGAGTACTGTCTCTAGCTCCATTTGTTTTTGTTTTGAATGATTTGTAACTAAGGTTAGATTCTATAGTCATGATTCAAACACTTGCTATCTTGCAACTTACATTCCAGCTGATTTTTTTCACAAACTATGTATACCACAATGTACATTTACGGTTCCAATATAAACATAAACGTAAAAAGTATATTACAATGCAAAATACAAATTTATGTTCATTTGTAAAACTTTATTCATGAAATTAGTAAGTACAAATACTATTGATTGTCAGAATATGTAGTTATTTTATTATACATATGTATATTATAATATTTAAATTTATTTAGAAAATATTATTATACATATGTATATAAACGTTATATTTGCGTACTTTAGGGTTATCAAAAATTATTCTGAATTAATGAAATCATCTTTATTGTGTGAAATACTGATATTTTTAATGAATGAAAAATATAAATGGCAAACTTTCTAAACTTCAATGTTCTTAAATTAAATTTCCTCAATTTTTGCATCTTGAATTCCGAAGTCTTGAGCAATTATTTTATTTTTATTTATTTCATTATATAAAGGATTCCCTTCAAATGTTATTTCTTCTAAATTTTTCAGTAATAATAAATATTGTATTTCAACTTCATCCTGAAATATATTTTTCATTATTAAGTTCAACATTTATGATGATTTATTTATACTTACTGTTAAACAATTATGAGCAACATAAAGTTTTTTTAATTTTTTTAATGATTTTGTAAATTTCAAGGATTTTATTTTATTATTTTCAACAGATAGAAACTCTAGATTATCATTTTCGATAAAATCTTCTACATTTAATAATTCAATTGCATTATAATCCAAAGTTAGAGATTCCAAAGTAGAACAATAAGTTATTTCTGAATATTTAATATATATTTACAATAAGTAATGTTATTAAAATACAAAGTATATATTAATTAGTTTAATGATATAAAATATTACCATTGGTACTTTGAAGGTAATTATTATTTAAAAATAGATGTTTAATCACGGGTAATTGTTCTTTACTAATATTTATTACTGTCTTAATGCAATTATGATCTAAAAATAAAGTGTATAGTTTTGGAAATATACAATTATTTTTGTCATGATCATTTCCATTAAATGCTTCCAGGCAATTGTAACTTAAACATAATGTATGCAAATACTTAAAGGAATGGAGACCACATAAATAAGTTATTTGATTTTTACTTAGATCCAAACTTTCTAACTGTGGTAGAATTTCTGCAGAAAGATCCACCTAATAAAAATTCAATATGTTATAGATATAGATATAATTTTTTTTATACTCCTATAAATAACATACTTTTGACAAAGAACAGTCAATTAGACTCAGTTGTGTTATATTTGTTAGGTAATCTGTTTCATATATTCTATTTAATACATGTTTATCAAATTTATTGCCAAATATATATCTTGCTTCAGAAATATCAGAGTTTCTTATATATTCTCCAGAAATATACTATTAGCAAAATTGTAGAAAGCATAAGTATACGCATGATATTTAAATATATATGTATCCAGAAAAACTAAAGGTTTTACTTACTTCAATGTTACTCAAGTGAAATATAATAAATTTTTTATATAATGTATCTGTACTTATTGGATTATTACAAAAATCTATAACATGTAATGTTTGCCAAGTTTTAACATTGTCTATTTGTGCTATGTTTCTTATTTCATTATTTCCACAGTAAAATTCTTGTAATGTATGGAATGATCCCATTGATTCCAAATTTGTTATTAGATTATTAGTCAAATCTAGGTATTTTAACATTGGAAAATTTTCTTGAGTGAAATCGTCCAAAATTGAAATAAAGTTACTTCCAAGATTCAATTTAATCAGATACTTTAAAGGTTTTGCAAAAGAAAATATGGGCAACAAACAACAAGTAGCACAAAGTTCTTGTACATTCTTTAATCTTTTCAAGATGTTTGATGCTGCAATAAGATTTTGTGATATATGAATATATCTTGCTTTTTCTATATTTTTCTTCTCCAGTAATTTTATCTCTTCCATATTTTTCAATGTATTATATTTCAAATAAACTAATTTTTTATGCCATTTATTATTTAGTTTACACATATTAAAAGCACATGGAAAATAATTTTGGGATAAATTAAGATTTTTACAATTATAATTATTAACAAATTGTAATTTTGATAAATATATATGTAATAAGTATTCTACTAATTGAGGATCAGTAATATCATTGAAATGATTTTCATGTATCTTCAGCTTACACATGTTGGGTATATAAGTTATAAAAATACTAATACATTGAAGACAATACATTAATAAGTTCCATGATATATCCAGTTCTTTTAGTGAAAGTAAGGTTTCCTCAACATGTAATAATTTTATGTTATTAAAGCTTATATTTAATATTTCCACATTTTTTATAAATTTTGAATTTGGAAATTCATCCAATCGATTATAAGAAATATCAAATTCTCTTAAGTTAGGCAAGTCTAAATCTATGTCAATTGAATTTATATTTTGTCTAGAAACAGATATTTTTACAAGATTATATATTTCTACTTTTCCATAATTACTAATACATCGTCTAATATTGGAATTGGATAAACATATAAACATTGTATCATCTATGGTACATGCAATTCTGCAATTTTCATATTCTTCTTCCTGTGAAACAGTTTGTAAATTTTTCCTTCTAAGTGTTCTATATATGCCATATAAATTACATTAAGGTTAAATTAAAATAATAAAAATGATTACCTTTGTTGATTCATGTAATATATATTCATATTCTATTACAAACATAGGATTTTTTATGTTCATCTTGGTCAACTTAAATAATTGACAAATCTCGTTTGAATTATTCTCATGATTTGTATGTCTTGTATGTAAGCAGTCATGAACATTATCTATTCTATATAAAAATATTATGCTTTTTATATGAAATACATTAAAATTGGCATTTTTGTTATTACTTTTCAATAGAGTTGAAAATTGGCGTTTGTATAAGTACACAAACACGTTGTTTTTCGCAAATATTATAGAAGCTTAGGATATTCGTATTTTTCTTTGTTGAAAAAACTTTATTTAACCAGTCACAGTCTGCTGCTGCCAAGCAATTAGTTACTATTATTTCTTCCTATTAATTAAAATATTTTTTACTTCCCAATTTATTTTTTAGTGGAATAAGATCTTATTTCTTAAGACAGAAAATATATAAATACTTTAATCAGTAAATCAGTTTGAAAATAGTTAAAGGGCCATTTTTGAATATCTGTTACCCCAGGCGAAGCTAAAATTTTTAAAATCATGCTGCTGCATTCATCCAATTGCAAATTTTTATTTTTGCAAGTATTTAATAGATCAATTTCTTTATTGCTTACTTTTGTTACTTTGTGTAATCTTAAATCTATTATACCTATGCCCCTGTAATAAAAGAGTTATTATAAAAACTTTATTGTATGAGTATTTCTACTAGTACAGTTGGGAGCATACTTTACATACTCTTTCATAACTGAACACAATGATGCTTGCAAGAATTGTTTACATAACTGAATAACTGTATTTTCTGAATCAATATTGTACTCAACAAAATTTATATTTCCACAATAATTCATATTAATTAGCAATTGCTGTTGCAAAATCTAGCATATAAATAACATTACCACTTAATTACCACAAGTAATTTATTTTAAATAATTAAAAAAAGAAAGAATTTTAAAATAGGTATTGTACTTTAGATTGCAAGATTAATTTTTCTTCCATTTCTTTGAGTTGCTTTTTATTTAATTTCATTTGTAGCATTATATTTTGTGCTTCATCGTAAGCTTCAATCTTAAAATAATTTTGATTATTCTACATAACAAATAGAAAATAGTTAATAATAATAATAACATTATTACTCTATATATAAAAGTTAATTATACTAGAGTATTAAATACCTTTTCAATTTCAATTGCATATAGTTGGTTTTTAAAATAAAGCATTTCCTTTTTGTATTCCTTATATTTATCTTTCAATAAACGCAAATGTATGTTTAATTGTTTATGAAATAATACATTATAATATGTCATTTGCTTTCTAGAAGTGAAACGTAATTTTTTCAATCCCGTTCAAAAATATTTTATGATGCCGATATAAAATAATGTAAATACTTGAAAAAGTAATTAATCCAACATCTTTCTTTTTCACATATTTTGTAATGATCTAATTTTTTAATATGTGGAAGATAATGAATAGCATATATACGATAGTTGCAAAAGGTTACCAAAGGGCAATCTCCATATAATGAATCCGCAAATACTAATGAATTTAATTTTCTCAATTGTGATAGATATCTTATGTCCTTGTAATTGAAAAAGGATATTATCATACAAATATAGTTTATTCAAATATTTTACATACCCTTATAAAGCATAAAGGATTTCCCGCTAGATTTAAATTACATAGTTCAGACTTTCTCCAAGACATTTTATTTATTCTTTCCAATTTATTGTTAGCTAAATTAAGTTCTTGTAACCATGTTAATGTATCCAAATTCTACATGAATGCAACGTGTATTGTAAAATAATTTTTTAACAAATACATAATTTAAGAAATAAAAGTCTTTATTTGAAAAACAATAAAGGAAGTTGTACCTCAAGTTTGTGTATATTGTTTCCTGATAAGTACAAAATGTTTAAATGAGAACAAGCTTCTAAATTTGGTATGCAACGTATTTCGTTGGAATATAGATAAAGCTTCTTTAATAAACAATTTTCTTTGAATCGTGGTACGTCCTAATTAAAACAAACTTTAATTTCTAATACTTTATTGATTACATTCGATTTACGTTATTACCTTGATACCACATTCGACGATCCATAATTCTTGCAATTCCATCAATTGTGAAACAGCATTGAAAGAGCCAATATTTCGTTGACCGATTATTATTAATGTCCGAATATTTTGCTTTGTAAACAATAATTTTTCAAACGATATAATTTTAGAATAAAATAAACATAATTCACGTTTATTATTACCTTTCTTCCTCTTGTCTATAAATAGATTTATTTATTAAAAATAATTCAGTGCTTTCAAAGCGTTTTTATTACCTTTGTTATCCATAAAATTATCCATTATCACATTTACGATTAATATTTATTTCTAATAGCAATTGTTTTGAATTTCATCTTTTCCAATTTAAATATAGCCAATAATTTTCTTTAAACAAATGGTCAAGCTAATAGCAATTACAATTAATTACTAATCAATACTTGAATAATACATTATTATGGAATTTTTTTCATATTTTAATACACTTTCCATTGCAATTTAACTCTATATGTATCAAAAATATTTTGCACTATTAATTGTAAGATTTGTAACTATTTATAAGTATGCATCAATTTGTAAATAGTTATATGAAAAGCTTGTTAACATTCAATAAAAATTGCCAGGATATTTAAATATTATAATAATTTATTATGGATCCTTATAATATTATCGATAAGATGTAAAATAAAATTATTTTTATACGATAGTTGTAACTTCTAAATGGAAATATCTATAAAGGTTAAACAAAAATCGGAAATAAATATTAATAGCTAGCGCAATTATTTACGTTTCACGTTATGATTTCAATTTTTTTTCGTTTTATTTAATACTTGTATTATGTAGTTGCTACTGGCAATATAGACAAAAATGATTACGAAATCATATAAATATATACATAGAACATTTTGAATACATTCAACACGTAAAAATTACAAAATGTGTATCGTTCCATATTAATTACAATTTAATTATCATTTACTGAGATAGTATATCTTTAATCTAGGAACTAAATATAGCATATAAAACAAAGTTAATTCTTCTATTCTTATTTATTATACAATCATAAATGTGACGTGATTATGATTACTCTGTAAAACTTAGGCATTTAAATGTGATCATTTTTTGGAGATTTTAAAGTTAAGAAAACAAAGTCAATAAATAAGTTCAAAATGCCTAAGCAATACATTTAAGCGTTTCCTATCAATATCAATATTTTATATTTGATAGATAATCAACGATGAGATTTATATACATTATCATTAATATAATACCTCAAAGCCATTGGGTCATAAATATATTATTTTTTCCCAAGTATAAATAATATTGTTCTATAGTAAACTACTTTAAAGCATGTTGGAGATAGGAACTTGTAATTCGATTGTAATAGGTTTTTCTAATGTTATGACTGTCATTCGATTTATAATTATTATAAATACATGTAAATATCTTATAGGAATAAAACATAAAAATGTGCAAAGATTCAAAATCATTGATATCTTACGATTAGATCGAGTCAAGTTTGGTTAGGTCAGAGTCCCAGCAATATCTTACAACAAAAAAATAGTGATAGACTATGGATACTTATGCAAATTTATATTCTTAAAGACAGAACTAAAAGAATAAAATCTAACAGGAATTTGTTTCATCTACTAAATGCTGCACCGAGTATTCTACTTTGGATATATTAAATATTTGAATTCTTGTACTTTTGCGCATAAAAGCCCATAGTCTAAATATGAGATTCCCCGAATTGCCAGAAGTAAAAATTTACCGCTAGGCTAAGTCTATGATATCAGAAATAGCTATTTATGGGAGGTAGAATTTAGCTGACTTATTAATGATTCAATGGATTTTCATATCTTTTACATTTTTTATGTTTCAATAACAAATACCCTGTCATAAACCTTGTAAGTAGTTGCCAAAGATTATGCGACGATAGCCGGTCATCTAACAGCTCATACATCCAATTCGAATTCTGTAGTACATTACATACAATTGATCTAAGGCATCCTAAGCATTGCCCTAAGTGGTATAACGAAAAGGAGGGCACGAGGTCTTAAAAATCTTTAATACGTACAATTTAATTTTAGAACTTTAAATAGAGTATGGTGTAGAATAGTAAGAATAAAATCTCTCTAAAAATAGAATCTATTAGATATTCCAATAGATAAATTACTAAGAAGCGAAACTAATCAATTCCATTTTTTGAAACTTTCTTAATTTGTATGTCAACATACATGACTGTTGTTCAATATTCAGCAGATGTTCGAGTACTTACAGCTGACAGTATATTTAAAGAATAGGAGATGAACCTAACCTGACCCGATACAAATCTTGAATTATTGTACACAGCCAAATAAAACTAATAATGACAATGAATAATTTGAAAAAGATTTTATTTATGAGTCATTAGCTCCGAGGTGTATATTATTAAAATGAGAACAAAAAGTTAAAATGCATTACAAAAATTTCTATGACATTTGTATGTGTCGCGTGACTACAGTCAAGCACCTAATACGATGAAATATATTTAAAATACGATGATTTAAGTTTTTAATGATTGTAAAGTTTATATTGAATATTGTATCTAATTCGTATGAATGTACAAAAAAACGTCGGGACTCTGCAACTAAGCGTTCATTTAACAATCTTCTTTATTACGACTTTAAAAAACTTCTTTAATTATATTTACTTACCTCCTTGTACAAAGTTGGTCAAAGAGACCTGTGCAAAAGTTTCTTCCATTTTTAACATCTACGATAGACTAAATGTCTGTTTCGTACTGAGCGCCCAGGTTTAAGTTAATGTCTTTCCATATTTTTATAACAAAATTGTATAAATGCAGTGTCTTGTATGTAGTATCAGTGAATGTATAAATTAGAGAAAGTTTCTTATATTTAGCCTGATTTAGAGATCTTTATATCTTAGGCCCATAAACACCGCCAGTCATATTCTTTGGTTTCAGTTATTCGTAACATTATATTTAATGCGTTTAATTACAGTTACAGAAATAAAAGAAACGACATATGTATAAAAGAAATTGATAGTTCATTCATATCTGTTTTAAAACAAAACGTATAAATATTTTAAATATATAGAAACAATATTTTAATAACAGTAGAAAAACAATAAAATTCCTTATTTCATAAAATATGTTAAAGATAAATAACAAATACTAAATAAGAGTTTCGTACTTTTTTAATAAATTTATATTATTTAATTTTACCTGTTTGTTAAAATTTGTATCAAGATATTTTATGACCTCTGTGTTTGCTGACATGATAACCTTTTTGATTAAAAGTACTGCTTCGAAAACTGTAAGATTTTTTTTTAAATACTGTCCAAAATCTAATGTCATATTGGTTATATTTCACACTAACACCCAGATATATGCCTATCATAAATAACCGGTGGAGCTACAGTAACTTATTTGCGTTTCATTTGGTAGCAGTTTCTAAGCCGTTAGAATACATATAAATGTCATGTATAACAAACTTATCGGTTGACCCATTTTTTTGCTGGTTCTGTCCAGTTAGATTCATTTTCATCCTCCTTCTCTCCATCTGCCTCTTCCCTTTCGCCTCTTTCTTGTTCTTGCTCGCTGGATGGGGTAGCAGATGGCGTTTGCGAGATATTAACATTGCGTGCACGCAATTCAGCCAAGAAATCATTCTCCTGTTGATAGCGTCGCTGAAGCTCTTCTCGCCAAGAATTTCCGCCGCCGCTACTATCATCACCATCCTCGCCAGCCTCGAAATCTGAAGATAAGGAAAATCGATAATTCCAAAATTATGAATGTACTTGTTACACTCAAATTATTTTTAATATTTGATCTTTCAATTTTTTGTATGCAGAAAAGAACGCTAATTCCTATAAAATGAATATTGTATAACTGTATCTACTTAGTCAATATATTTAGAATTCAGATGTTTATTTACATTTACAATATCGATAATATTATATACAATAATTGAAAGGAAAATAAATATCGGTCTACTAATTTAGAAGTGTGATTGTATGTTACAAATATGTAATTGAGCAAAAATGAAACGACGGTCAATTAACTACTTCTAAAGAAAATGACAGAATGTAATTTTTAACTAGTATAAAAATGTACCTGATTTACTATTACAATTCCCAATTTACAATTTACTGTTAACGCTTTACTGTCTGGAATAATAGATACGTTTACTAACACGTTTATTTAATATAGTAATTATATATTTATGCAAAAGAAGCATGTGATGTAATATTTTGCAAAATGCTTGTGAGGATGTAAAAAATTACGAGAATGGAAATTTGAACAAACTCTTACCTAACGGCTTTCTGATGTTAATTCGGCCAGAGTTGTGAGAATGATCCTCCTGGTCTGAGTCTGCAAGGCACCAGGATACATTCACAGGGGGTGCATCACACACATTCCACAACACGTCTAAAGTGTCATTTGTATATGAAAATATCTATCTTTTTGCCAAAATTGTAATACCAATGGGATATTTTATATAGAGACTTGTACATTTAAATCCCAATCAAATATTTTCTTATAATAACGATAATTATTACTAACATTATTATATTTTTGTACTTTCTTACAGTATTCAAAACAAAAGAAATGTTATAATAAATTTCGAAGTATCTATTAAAAATGAAACATCGTTTTTATTTTGTAGTAAATGTAAGAATAAAGTTGCATAAACTAAATTTTTGTTTAATTGCAATTCGTCTTCAAATCATTTTTAAATCATTAACCGAATTATAAATTGTCTTATTGTTAGAAAGAGCATGTCCTGTTTCACGTGTAGTGTAGTAGTCTGTGCTATTTCTAGACTAAATTTTGCTAAGTCTATACTAGATAAGAGAAAATAAGAATTATAACAGGCAAACTGTGTAAAGAGAGGCAAAAACTAAATATTTACATCTGTAAGTTGTTAACAGTGAGTAATATATATGTATGATAACTTTTATAAACTTGCATAAAACAATTTATAAAAATATTATAAGATATATCTTGAATTTAAAAAAAAAACTTAAAAAATCATTATTGACACATTTAGATGCGAATAAAATAAAATCCTGTTTTCTTTTTGTGAATTTATCAATTTAAATAATTATTTAAAAATATTGTAACAATATAATATTTGTACTTAATATACATAAAAAAATCGCATATTATTCTTCTTGTAAGTACTAAATAGGAATATGCAATTATTTATTTTGTTTTACATATAAATATTTATAAGAATTATTTTCCAAATAATATAAAAAAATTAAATTTCTTTTATATTTTAATTCTTAATATAAACATATGGCTATGTATGAATTGTAAAATTTACCTTGTATTTGAGCTTTAGTTCCATAATAAATTTGTAAAATTTTGTTCACTAAAAATAGGTAGGGAAATGCAT